TCCCTGACTGGCTTTGGGGAAGAATAGCAACCGTGTGTTTCCCTTGACCTCCAGCAGGGTGCAGCTTCCTGTGCCTCCCTAAGCCCTCCACTGACAGAGGGAAGAGGGTGTAGTTCTCAGGGGCTAACCCTTCCCCACCACTCCTCCTTTCCACCCAGACCTGCCACTGAAGGAGGGATTTCTGAAGTTGACATTATCTCCCAACAAGTAGACGAAGAAACCAGGAGCATTGCTCCGGTGCAGCTGGTGAACTTTGCCTATCGGGACCTGCCCCTGGCTGCCGTGGACCTCTCCACGGGGGGGTCACAGCTCCTGTCGAATTTGGACGAAGAGTACCAAAGAGAAGGGTAGGTACAGCATGGCTGAGAGCCTCTTGCATAACTCCCCGTGTTTCCATGGGTACCTCCCAGGAGGCAGGAGCAGAGGTTAGTGGTGCTGAGCAGAAGAGGCCAGGAGGTGACATTAGGTCACTCAAGCGTTTTCATCTCACACATGATTTCCTCAGAGAAAGATTCTGGGTACAGAAAATGCCCACCGCTGCTGGACAACCTCCTAGGTGTTTTGTGTGTTTGCTTAGAACTTAGGTAATAGGATTTGTCTTCAGACTGAGGTGATTCTTAATATTCTTTCCAATTCACGCTGTTTACCTCACAGGGGTTAGGAATGTGCCAAGGTCACAGAGCTTATATGGGATGAACTTTGACTGCACTTTGCTCTGCACACAGTGATGCTGAGTGTCTGGAAAGTGGGCAGAATCCCGCCAGGTGCTTTGCAGACATTGCCTCCCTCCCTGTCCAGTGAGAGCCGCAGGATTGCTTTTACATTAACTCCTCCTATATTGCTTGTCAGTCAGTCAGATCAGTGGGTTTGTTTTCTATTTAACTTCTCACTAGCCTGGACTCTCTTACAAATACACTCTTCAAAGCCATAGTGTGATGTGCCGGCCGGATAGAGGCAAGGAAGATGATGGTTGGAGGTCCTGGTTTTCAGTGGTAGGCGGTTAGAATGTTGAAGGCCACAGAAGGGCAGACATACATCCGTGGGTTACGCGGTAGCGTAGACTTCTGACTCTCACCGATGCTTGCCCCCAGTTCTGCCCTGTGGCTTTTTGACACAGAACTGTAAACACTGGCCAGCACCTAAGAGCCAGTTCTGGGCAACGCTCCCAGGTGCCCATAACCATTTTAGAACAGGCTGGCTGCTTTAAACACAAAACGGAAGGTTTGCTATGTATTTTAGAAGCAAAGGAAAAGCCATAGCTAAGCTAAATTTGCAAAGCTCGGATTCCCTGTGTCTGCTTCCTGAAGGGGGCACCCCCTTCCTAAGATAAAATGCCGAACAACTGGGACACCGTACACCTGCTTCTGCAAAAAACTGACACCCAGTGACTTTCTCTGAAAATAAATTTTTTTCTAAGTATTGTGAACACAGCTAGCAGGACCCTAGAAGAAAATAACAGGCAAATCAATAGAAAAATCTCTGAAGGGATTGGGAGATGCCTTAGTCGGTAAGAATGCATAGTCTGCCTGAGGACATGGGCTTCAATCTCCAGCACCCAGCCCTACATGGTTATATGTGCCTTGTAACCCCAGGGGGGAGTGAAAATTAGATCCTATCCAGAGAGCTTACTGACCAGAGAACTTAGCCAAAATGGTGAGCTTCTGGTCCAGTGAGAACCTGTCCTAATAAGGCAGAGATGCACAGAGCATGCCTGCCCTCCTGCTCTGGCCTTCACATGTACACACAGGCACACACCCTCACAGTCACATGCACACATCAGGCAAGACACACAGGAAGGAAGGAAGGAAGGAAGGAAGGAAGGAAGGAAGGAAGGAAGG